ACTATTACATCATGTGCATCGGTACCAGCAGGCTGGATGAAGGGGCGGTCTGTCAAAGATTTGACCAACATGCACACAAGCATCGTACAAATTCCTATAGAGAACACTCCTTGTCCCTCTTGGAACAGTTATCAGAACACTGTGCCTTTGTAACATGATTTATTACAAGCCTGGACAGATGATAAAAGTATTTATAAACAGTTTGTTTCTATATAGAGAAGCAAATAGAAACAATAATGGCCACTTAGTGCAGGGACAAAGACAGACAGACTGACAGAACAACGGGAAAGAAGGAGAGAATTTTACAAAAAGTACCCCCCCCCCCCCACTCACCAGCAATCTAGTCCACACCAATTATTTACCATGAGCAGAGGTAAATATCCTGGAAGTGACAGTGCTAGCAACAAGTATTTTTTCACTTAGTTTTACTTTCAGTGAGAGTTTTACAGCACTTGCAACACAATATGGTCATATAAAAGTGCCCAAGGTTAGAGGTGTTACAAGAGAGAACAAACACAAATAAAGGAAGAGCGATCAGGACGATAGATGTTTGATAGGAAAGAAAGAGCAAACCACACCAGAGCACCTGCCAACCACTCGCAAGGGTTGTTTCACAAATTCAGCATACATATATAATGGATAAACTGGACATTCCAGACAACTATACAAGATATTTTTGAGAAAAGATAACCTTTCCACCAAAGATTCCCAGTGTCTGCTGGTCAGCTTGCACAAGCCCAACCTTAAAAACACCAGTCAATGACAACTTCCCCCGCCATTGTTTTTCATTTTCAGAGTTGACTGACTGACTGGTGTAATGTTTTACAGTAACATTAACACAATTTAAACCACTTAGGAGGCAGGCCAATTTGATCCTGCCCCTCAGGGCCAGCCTGAGCTGAGTGGGGGATATAGCACCACAGCAGACAGACTGATAGGCCTACCTGATCCAACAAGTTCCCTGCTTGTGAATCGAACTCACATCTTTCGTGTGCAACAACAAAGAGCCAGACCGTTGCATCATAGACACCAGTTGTTATCAGTGTTGAGGCACAGGGCAACCAATACAATACTAACTACACTCTCATAGATTACTAATCTTTTCAGCTGGATTTTCACTTCAGAGCACTATGCATAGAGCGTGATTAACTCCTAATGTATACACCACGGCAAGTCCAAAAACAGTCAACTTGCACAGCTGGCTAAAACAAATGCACATTTCCCATTATAAGTCCTTTCCGAGAAGGGGTCTATGTACAAGCACTACCCAGGGCACTGGGAGACTAGCTGCTCAGGACATGTTCTGAAAGCATTGCGATAACATGAGGAAGGCACAAGATGGAGATGAGCCACTGAGAGAAAGCACAGAATGTAACTGCAAAGACTGAATTAAACAATGAACGAATCTGGCATTGGGGGGGGGGGGGGGGCAAATCCCATAGCCCAACATGCTTCAGAGAATCCCACAGCTGAACATGTTTCAGAGAATCCCATGGCTGAATGTTCATCTAAGCATCAGAGAATCCCATAGCCAAACATGCTTCATAGTTTAACACCCACATCAGAGAATCCCAGAGCCAAGAATGCTTCATAGTCTAACACCCACATCAGAGAATCCCACAGTTTACCATGCACATGTAACAGAGAATCCTATAGATTCACATGCACATCAGAGAACAGTCATTAACCTTTAGACGGCAGAAATCAACTGTCTTCTCCATACAGCCAGGACAACCCCCCTCCCTGATACAAGTCAGGCTGTAGGACTGCACAAATACATCTCGATATCAAGGTGAGAGATTACATTATTGCATTGTATTTGAAACAACTATATGTAACACAAGACAAATTTCTAACATCAATTTTACACATTCTGAGAAATTAGTCAATTTCTTTTCGGGGGTATTTGGAAGCCGACTGCACAATTGTTTCGAAGGGTAGCATAGAATATCAACTTTATACATATTTGTACTTATAACGATTGACCTTAGGGAACGGGCAAGCCAAGCAGGAACTGGGGGTAACGGTAAAACCCAAGGTAAAAAAACATGGATCTAAGGTCATATCTATGAAACGATAGCACTGTATTCTCCAAAAGCCAATATGAAGAAAACAGTTGCCCCACTCAGGTGGGCTACATGTACTATTTAGTAACTCTAAGAAAGCCAATGCCGCAACTTCAACCACTCGTTCAATTTGCGACTTTACTTGTACTGGCCAAGACAACTTAACTTTTAATGGCACCTGCATCAATTTCAGGATAATATTAACCTGAAAGATATTTGTTCTGTACAAACCAATTACAAGGAGAAAGGGGAATAGAGGTAGAGAGAGGGAGACAGAGACAGAGGGAAACAGACAGAGAGGCAGACAGATGGAGAAATCTTAACAAGGGCCACTTATCAATCTTATTATCACACTTGGAGCCGATTAACAAGCTAAATGATAGATGAAAGCAAAAAAATCTAGATTGACTGCTACCTCCAGAATTCTTTGGCCACTGCTAGTTTTCAAATCAGGAGATTCCTAGTAAAACCTGACATAAAAACCAAGCTGCTATATAAAGCAAAATGAAGCGATGGGCCACTACAAAGGACAAAACTCACTATATCTGAGCATTCAAGATCAGAATCAGAATGACTATCATAAAAATAAAAAGTCTCATCTGTTGACAATGGTGTGACATGCAAAATACTACATTAAGTAAAATGATGGACAAACTGCACACAATTTTAATTCATTCTGCATTTTACAGCTCTCTTAATACTTTTAGGTCCAATATAAGAGTCAAATATCAAGTCGTGCCCTTTAAAAAAGAAAGGCAGATACTACCTTTCGTAGTAAGAAAGGTAAGGCAGACCGGACGAGAGTACTAAAATATCCCGGGGGGGGAAGAAATATAACTATGGAACAGTAAAGAATCATATGCCAAAGTGAAAACAATTCAATAAAAGAGTTTGCCACACATTGGGGCCTATCAGAGACACTTCCCAACCATCTGTGGGATAAATATGGACAACTAACTAAAGGGAAAGAAAATGTAACAGTATTGAAAAAAATAGCGCAGAGCTATCGATATTCGGCCTGAATTTTTTTTTAAAAACATGGTAAAAGAGAGAATGGTAATGACAGGGGGACTTGCTGAGTTAAAAAGAAGAGAAATAAGTCTCTCTGAGACCTTGAGCAAGAGAGCAGAATGACAGACAGAAAGAGCAGAATGACAGACCGAAAGAGCAGAGGGACAGTGATAAAATGAGACCTAATAGCTGCACCAGTCATGCCCTCCAACCACAAGTAAATGCAAAATTTGCAAGGGGATGGGAAGGCTTTTCCAGCTGTCAAAGCTAAGACATCCCCAGGGGACGGGCATAGAGAAGAGCACAGCTGAGCATACGGCTGGTCCACAGCAAAAGGTACAACAGATTTTCTAAACATCGCATCAAAACAAAGCATGAGACACAGCTCCATTACAAAAATATCATAAAACAATAGGCCTATATATCACACTGTGATACATAAAAATACACTAAAATTGTATCTAAGACGTACAAAAATGTACAAACTTTTTTTTGTAAATAAGCTGTTAGAAATGACAACAACAACAACAACAACAACAAAAAGGTGGGGATGACAAAGGTCTTACCGTTCAGTTTCCACCAGCTTCCAAAACACTCTACAGTTTTCATAAGGATAAAAAAACTGAGTGAAAAAAAACTACAAGAATTCAACCAGGCACACAAGCATTCACAAATAAAAAGTTTGTATGTGATCGATCTATTGTTGTTGTTTTTTTAATCAATAAGGAGTCAACAAAGCAACTGCTCAGTGAAAGACTCCGTCATATAAGTGTGTGCCTAGAGAAAGGTACCAAAAGTCGCCCCAGACCGTTTCGAGCTACAGGCTGATAATGACAAAAATCACTTTTTGACCAAAATGTGTTTCCATTTTAAAAAATGATTGATCCACTATTTTTTTACAATGTGCTCGAAGGGTTTTGTTGATCTGACTTCTAAATATTTTACTTTGCATCATTTTGAAGGTAGGGTATAATAAAAACAAACAATGAAAACTGCTTTTAAAAGGTGTTAAAATCTATTCTTGAAACACATTTTCTCTTCCCTGTTATGTTACACCGTTGAATTCCATTCATGATATTGATGTCAACTGAATGCCAAATTGGAAATGAATTTTCCATGAATAAATACATTTTAGAAAATAGTTTAACTTAAAAGTTTGTATGTGTTCTCATGTTTATTATTTAACTTAAAAGCTCATTTACCCAAAATTATATTTTTATACCCTACCTCGCAAAATGAGCAATATCTCAAAAACTTCTTCAGATATCTAAAATATTCAAAGACCTCTGTGTTTAGCATTGAATTTCCTACAAGGTACTACCCTTAACTCAAAATGGTCAAAATCCGACTTTTGGTACCTTTCTTTAAGCACACACACATGATATATCCCTATTCCAAATGGCATATGGCGGAGTTTTACACTAAGCAGTCAAAACAAGTCCACAGACTAGAAGACAAAGAATTCAACCGACCAATGACTTCACAGAAACTTACTCTGTAATCAGATCTATTTGTGGCTATCTAGAAATTGAAACTTCTGCATCGATATTAAAAACTGCCGGCCTGCCTGTATCATACGGTCATGGTAGTGATTCAATTCTGAGTCCCCAAGGAAAGGGTTGGAGCACCCTGTAAACATTCAGAAAAACCTACTATTATGCCTAGAACGATATGCAGCAATGCTCAGTTCAATACAAACAAAAGGCCCTTCTTCGAACTCAGTTCTTACTATCTTTACATCCATTCCAGTTCAATTTATACAAAGAGCATTTCATATCTCACTTGACATCCCCTCCCTTGGTTCTGTCGCAGTCTTCGAACCAAGAAAAGAAATAGTAGAGCAGGAGTGAAAAACAACTCTGCCTGCCAGCCCAGTCAGTGAGGCTCTTGCCGACTATTTTTATATTCGTAACTTTTATATTACATACTTTGACCATGACAGGCCCATATTGCTCCAGCGTTCAAAAGTGGCTCACCAATGAAACATGTTGCACACCCCTGAAATAGAGCAAACAGGAGGCAGCTCCCTACTTATCTCCAATGATCATTATATGGATCAACAATTCAAGACACACAGTCTACTCTCGCCTTACCATAGGCATCATTAAGCATACCATTGCCATTTTAAGTTGTTTCTTTTTACAATGTACAGAAAAAAAATAGGGAAAGGGGGAGGGAGGTAAGGCATGTGATATATACAGTTCACTATTCACAGGTTACTAACATTTCATTCCCATGTTATATTTCGATTTGATAAACGATAAAATTGGATATTGTACAGTACAAATAACATCACACTTTGTGTGCCCATTTTCACGCAGAAAAAAGTGAATGGGAAAGTGAGCGATACAAGAAAAGAAAAGAAATAGAGAGAAAAACAGACTTTTGAAGAGCAAAGGAGGTAGACAGGGGCAGAAAACACAAAGATTTGCAATAGACAGAAACTATAAGTGAATTTATGTCACAGAATTTTTAGCAGTCTTGTTTTGAAGCAGTCACATTGTTCTGAATACGCAGACAGCTCAGGGAGCGTTAGTGTTGTCAATGACTGCCTGCAGCCCATGCAGTCTGCGTAAGAGCGTGTAGGGCAGAGCCAACCTCTTGGCCGGACTGTGCACCGAGTCATCACGATCCACCTCCAGGGCGCGCTTACTGGCCGGTGTATTGGCTTTGATCATGCGATTGATTGCTTGCAGGTCCTGGATAGGGTAGAGAGAGAGAAAGAGAGCGAAATACTACAAGCTAAAAAGCCTTTATATGTCATCTGTTTGAGAAGTACGTTCGGCTTAAATTCAAACACACAAACAAAAAACAAAAAACTGGCGTGTCTGAAGTCTAAGTAGAAAGTGAAGTACCACAAAACAAAATTCAAAAGGGTACAGAGGAGTTCTGAGCAAAGAGCAGAACATCTCCACAACAACTTGTGTAGACGCTCTTACAACGGTCATTCAGTGAACCTAAATAGTAAAACTGACAGTAAGAACAGGGATTGGGGTGGGTGGGTGGGTGGGTGTGTGTGTGTGAGTGTGTTGTTCCCCATAAAAATTCACAGTATTTTCCAAAAAATGGATTTTTTTCAACTTCCTGCTCTGCTGCTGTATTTTATTTCCTGTTTCTTCATGAAAGACTGAGTTAAGCGCAGATCTATTCTTTTAAACTGATTTTTGTTATTGTAGAGAAGATTCGCATCGTTGACAACAAATGCAAAGCCAAGTTGCCGAGAAAGCTTAACTAGTTTTAATTAAAGTTTTGAGGCACTTGCAACACAATAAGGGCATATAAGCACCAAAGATTAGTTGAGGTGTTACAAGAGAGTAACAAACACAAAAAAGAAAGGGGAAAGATCAGGAGGATAGGTGTTTGACAGGAAAGAAGGAACAAACCATACCAGAGCACCTGTCAACCACCCACTATCCGCGTGCGGTTCGTCACAGAATCTAATGCTCTCACAAAGAGGCCAGATCGAAAGCTCTCTGAGAGGTGGGAACTGTTATGGTATTTTGATAAGACATGTTGATCATAGATATAAAAAAATATAAAGAAACAGGGACGCCAGGCCAGAAAAGGCGTTAATATATTTGAATTGACGGTAGTGTACACTGAATTTTGGTGAAGCACATACACTTTATGAGCCTGTGTTATACACAGAACTTTCATGAAGCACAAAGACAATTTAACAGTCATTTAATGCAGAGATAATGTAAAGCAGACAGTCAGAAACAACAAAAGAAGAGAAAACAAGTAGGACCTACCAAGGGTGCCCTCCATCCAACCATCTGCAACCTTGAACCGTGAGACAATGAACACTTTGAATTTACGTAAGAACCATGGCAAACTAATCGTCTGCAAGGACAAATAAAAACGGACCCATCCACTCACCTTGGAAGGACTGCGGTTGATGCAGTAAGTCATGCCCCCTGTGGCATGAGCTGGGACAGGCGAGCCAGCATGATGGGGAGAAATAAACAGCGAATGGTGGCTGGACACTCGCCGGGGGGACGACTGCAGGCAACGCACGGCCGGCAACGGGGACAGTTTGGGGGTGTTCTGAGGAAAAGAAATAAGTCGTGCTAAGGATGGATGTGTTGCCACAATACAAATCACTACGTAATGCCAAAATAGACATTATGATATAACGCTACAAAGGACAACATGGGATGCACACGATATACATCACGAAATGCCACAATAGACATGTCATACTACAATAAAAATCATGGACTGTCACAATGGACACCATATAATGCATGTGTGTTTTTGCATAAATTACCAATCAGCGTTAACATAAAGCCACAGTAGACACCACGTGATGCCACAATAGACATTATATTATGCTATAAGACCATGCCTTGAACTTCACTTACAGAAGTCTCTCCAACTTTCTCCGCAAAGCGCAAAGCAAACGACCGGATTTTCTTCAGGAAAACCTGAGGAAAAACAAAGATACATGATCATGAGAAACCCTCAGTACAATATGAATATTACATATTAGACATTATTAGTCTTTTATTTCCACTCACAAATTTATCAACCATAATCAAACACATGAAATTCTAACATTCAATACCGACAGATCGTTTACACTATACTTTCAGATACAAAAAAAAGGAAAAATTAACTTTACTTCAGTTTGCACAAGTTAACTCGAATCCAATGTAGGCAGTGAATGAGCGCTTATACACTATCCAAGACATCCACCTAAGTTTCAGCAGCAGATTATAGCATTAAGAACAAACTTGAGTAAGAGCGAGAGCGAAAAGGAATATTCTAAATTGTGGCTGAAGTGGATTTAAAGGAACCATACACAAGAACACTGATAAGGCCATGTGCACACTTTGCCTCAGCGCCTTGAATATGTCAAGAAGTCAAATGGGATCTACTAAAACTGTCTTTCAGGGGATCTCTGTAGACTTTCTTTTTCTTGTTTCTTGAAGAAGACAGCCAACACTAAATACTTCGACCTACCAAGCTGTCATTAATGTGTAGTTAGTAAATCAGAATGATAACAGCAACATTTTGCAAGAAAGACAATAAAAAAGCGCATCCAAAAACAAAACAAAAAATAGAAGGAATAAACCATACCAAAGCGCGCAATAAGCTCTCAAATAGTCGTTCCATTTTTAGAAAAAAATCAAGAGCTTCATAACTACAGTCAAACCTGTGTAAGACGGCCACCCATTGTCAAAGAGAAAAGTGGCCGTATAAGAATGGTGGCCGTCTTAGGCAAGACTGATCAAGATGAAGAAAACAAATCATTCCCATCTGAAGTCCCAATCGAAAGTAGCTGCATTGTTTCTTGTTTTTGTAGTTGTTGGTTTGTATTTTTTTTTTTTTTTAATTTCGTTGCTGATTTTGCTCAAGAGTGACAATAAAACGAAATGTATCAGACGAGGAAGACCGAGTACCATGTTAAAACAAACACATGGGTCTCCACCACTCGGAGAACGAGTGACGCGTTCATGTTGACATCCATTGTTTCTTTGTTACAGACTGGGTAAACAGTGACCACTCATCTCACTTACTATTTGTGTATGAGTCTTGGGCGGGGTTGATGGGTTATGAGGGATCACATGCTCACCAGCAGCTGAAAATTGGTACCTATTGGTCAAAAGTGGGAAGGGCCTACCCAACATGATCGGTTGGAGGGACTACCTGACAACAACGACAGGTGATTGAATTATGACAGCTCGCCCACAACGCCAGGGGCCAGTGCACAATTTATGACAAAACGTAATGGAGTCACTAAGGTGGCCGTATAAGACAGGTATTATTGCTTAGTGTGATAGGGGTTGTGTGTTAAAATATGGTGGCCGCAGCCGTGTTGGACAGGTGCCCGTTTTACACAGTTAAATTATATAGAAAAAACGCAAGGGGGAAAATGGAAAGTGGCCGTTTGTAGAGTGGCCGTCAGAGCAAGTTCGACTGTATATGCATAATCAATTCAATTATCAAAAAGCCTAAAACAAGTACTGGAATTACCAAAATCAAACTCGTAAATAATTTGGAGACAAAGATAATAGTTCTGGTCAGGTACCCACCCGGTTGTAGAAGTTGATCAGATCACCTCGTTCCTCCTCAGGGTCAAAGTCAGCGCCACTGCCCAGAAAACGAGTTGGGGTCGGAGGCTGGCTGCCGGGGTGTGGCTGAGGCAGGGTACTTGATGACCTCACAGGGGGCTCCCGCTCTGTACAGAGTTCAAGCCACACTTACATGAAACTGCACTTTGTCAAACATAAGAAACATTGGGTTAAACATTACCTGTTAACTGGTGATTTGTTTTATTTGTTTTAGTAAGAGTTCGATGATGAAATTTGCGACACAATTAGGTCACGTAAGTGCCAAAGATTAGAAGTTACAAGACAGGAACAACCAACAAATAAGAGATTTTGTTTTGTTTTTGTAAAGTGTTTTACGGCGCTCGCAACTGCATAAGGTCATATGAGCGCTCGGGACACACCTAATATTTTCAGTTGGTAGGAAATTTTGAATTTTGCCTGGGTGGCGGCCGAAGCCTACTCTTATCGATTTTAGACCACCAAGGGGTCTTTAACGTGCGCAACTTGCACACGGGCCCTCGGAAATTTTTCTCCCTTGTCCGAGAAGGCTAGGTGTAGATCTTTCCTACCAGAAGATCAGGGGTGTGGCTGAAAGACAGCAGTAAGAAGAAGCGAAGGAGTAGCAATAGAAAGGTTGCAGAAAGAATCAGGAGCCCAGAGTAACGGGCAAAGGGGGTGAGGGGGTGGGGGCAGAAAGAGGAGACGAAAGCAGACGACAGAACATTGTTAGAGAGCAGGAAATGAGGTGAAAGGAGACAAATTTAGAGAAGAAAATTTTTCGGTCGCTACCCGGATTCGAACCCAGGACCTTTGAATGAGAGGCCAACACCTTAACCTCTAGGCCACGAGAGCCCCCCCAAATAAGAGAGATAAGGACAATAGACGTTTAAAATGAAAGAAGGGGCAACCCACACCAGAGCACTCACCAACCACCCACTCCCGCTCTGTACAAAGTTCAATAGACACTTACATACAAATGTGCTTGATCATGTAAAAGAAAAGAGTTGGATTAAAATATACCTTTGAACCGGTGAGTTTTGAGTAAACAGAAGCACACTGGTATCGGTATAAAAACAGTCATTTAGGGCTGAGAAAGAGCACGCCAGAACAAACAGACAAAAGCAACAGAGATAAAATAAAAAAGTATGACCAAGCAGTGGCATCCTCTGATCATCCTCTTTTAATCATCACTACAACTAAGGTAATAAATAAACTTTGAGGGTGGATTACAAAACAAGTGACTCTGTGTTACATCACGACTATTTTTGAAAGTAAGGATCTTGCCTTCTATGAAACTATACCATGTAACGATCAAGCAATAGCAGGTGTAGGAACGGCAATATCAAAATCAAACAGAATTCAAGATTGTCTCACTCAACTACATTTCCCATACAATGACACAATTGATAAAAAAGAATATTTAGTTGTCTACTTTTGGTGTCAATTATTTGATACAAAATTCTGCTGATCTGGCCATCACCCAAGCTGAAGCAGCAAGAATAAACAACACTCACTCTTATCCCGGTCTCTGCTGTTGGCCTCGGACCTCGTCTCAATGGTTACAGGTGACGAGGTGCCACTGCCTCCACCATTGCTTTTGCTGCTGTCACTGCTGCCCGAACCATGGCGATGGCGGTTTGAAAGCAAAACGCTACGGTACACCTGAGAAATAAGAAAGCAAATGCAGTTCCAAGAAATATGCGGGAAGCTAATCAACAAGTGTGTCATGTCAAGCTATTTTCAGGCTCTCGTCAATATTTATGCTTATGGAGTGATTGGTCCTATCTAAAAGCTTGTTCATTTGCCTTATTGTAAATGAAAAAAAATGCCCGTCTTGAGTAAAAGTTGAGAAATTTGCTACAGCAAAAGGTGGCAGTCGCCTAGTAAAATCTACTCAAACTTGTGTATTTAAATAGACATATACGGTGATGAGCCAAAAACAAACAAAAAAATCAACAAAGACTGCCAGATGGTAGGAACAATGTCGTTTTCTTCAATTTTATCATTCTGATGAGAGCCTGATTTCACCACGATGACACACAATTACAATGCAAATATCCAAATGGTGATTTTTTAATCCAATAAGAATAAATATACATATTTCTTTTTGACTTTTTAATGCTAAGAACAGATGTATTAGCTGCATTTTTATTCTCTTCTTCTTGTGCCCCTGCGACTAAAATCTTCGCCTCACAGCGCAGTTGATTTTACATACATAGCCACTTTCAATTCTAAAACCGCCCACAGATTTTTATCTTGCAAAATTTCCATTTGGAACCTCCAAAATTTTTCGACCTTAGCCAAAAGACATGGTGCTCGATCCCACCCACATGTCTTAAATTTCTTCCTTTCATCCACATCACTTTAACAAAGGCTGTTAACTGCCGACACTGTCTGAACGCTTACATGGCTTTGAGCCTGGGGCTGCAGTCTGTAGCACTTCATAATGTTCTGGAATGTCAGCGGACGCTCAGTCACCTGCACAAAAATAAAAATGGGACCTAGACAAAGGTAGCAGAAAAGAAACATGAGCAGTCATAGTCATGCCACATTTTCCAATTTAGAGGTGGGGCACTGACCCTGCTTGTTAGGAAAAACCTGGGCTGTGAGGGATACAACATCCCAGCAGAAAGACAGAAATACTCCATAAAATTCTCCCCACACAGGAATTGACCTCAAGTCTTCAGCAGGTAATGACAAAGCACTTAATCCCTGAACCACAGATTATCTAGAGGTTGCATCCTACTGTCACTAAACAAACCCATCAGTCACTCAGGCGGGGGGGGGGAAACTAAACAGCACATCATTGCTAGTAATAAACAACATGTTCCTTAAAACTATTATTTAAGACAAGGGACACATATCATCAAGATAAAAAGTATCATCAGTGTTTAAAATCCCCCACATTTCCTTCCCCCCCCCACCAATCAAATTGACATAGTTACATATCACAAGGATCCTAATAACTTTTATAAAATATTAAAATAGTGGGTCACAAGAGTGTGACAAACATACAAAAGAAGTAGAGGAAAAATGACAATAGTAAGGATTAGGAAAGAAAAAGCAGCAGTTCCCTGTTGCAGTACAGGCAGATATGAGTATGACATGATGAATCAGCCCATTTACAATTCTACTGTGCATAAGAACATATTTATGTCCCCCCTTTGGGAATGGCCTAAAGACACTTCAGTCAGTAGCACCGCACCGGCGGGTCTTGAATCTTTACACAAACTTTTATGTTAAATGTTTGCATATAAAAACTTGGAATAACTGATGTAAAAGTTGGAAGGCATTTCAACGACACACGGGTTACAAATTTTTTGCATCAATATTAACATTTTAACAATTTGTTATTCTTTTTTTTAAACGATTCCATTTCAAAATGCCATGTTCAGTTTGCTTTAAACTTTGACGCTCCATGTCTGCATACTAAATTCAAGATATCACCGTTATGATTTAAGCAGCAAACATTTTTTTGCCATCATCCTGTACATCAACACAGTAATGGCTATTTAGAGAAGGAAAAGGTACACAGTCAGAAATAACAGGAAAAGAGAACCCCCCCCCCCCCCCCAAAGACCTACCAGCGGCATCCTCCAATTAATGGTTAACAATATGCCTCACAAGCGAGCAATAATTAAGACCTGCAGTCGCGCTTATTTGGAGTAACATTCTGACTTTCTATAACGGAAAACAAGTCAAACCAAGAATTGAAAAAAAAACCAACAGAAAATGTGAAGGGATTCCAACAGGACTGACCTTAGCAATGAGGTAAATGGAGCACATGATAAGCTGGTCCAGGTGGCGGTCACACATCAGCGGGGGGTGACTGATCAGAGCAAACTCAAAGCACGTCCAGATCTTCCTCAAAAGTGCTTCATCCTCCAGGTCAAGCTTCTCAAACAGATCGCGCAGACGCACGCTGCACAGATGATAAACCTGCAACGTACGAAACACACATTTACACACGCTACACGGGTGATAAACCTTTGACACACAAAACACACAGACTCAGAGGATAAACCTGAAATAATAACAGAAGATGTATGCTGCCTGCTGAAAAACTTGCAGCACACTTAACACACACCTTGACACATGATTAAACTTTTAGAGTAATAACACACAATGCACTGAAGATTAACTTTTAACACACATAGCACACAATTACACACACTGTAATAGAAAGTGTTTTACGGTACTTGCAACACAATAAGGTCATATAAGTGCCGAAGATTAGAGGTGTTACAAGAGAGTAACAAACACAAAAAAGAAGAAGGGGAAATAAAGACGATAAATGTTTGATAGGAAAGAAGAAGCAAACCACACCAGAGCACCCGCCAACCACCCACTTACACACACTGTACAGACAAGAAACCCATAACTTATATAACACACACACATAAGCCCACTCCACAGACAATTAACCTTGTCACACATAAAGCAGACATGTGTTGCACAGATGACAAAACTTGCCATATCCATAAAACAAGATGCACAAACCTGCAATACCCATAAAACAAGACGCACTTAGCACAGACAACAAACCTGCAACATATATGAAGCACATTTACTAAGACTGAACTAATGATGAACCTTCAACACACGTATAACACACTTCTTGAAAATTCTGAAAAAAGAGAACACCTTCAGACTTACTGAGGAGAGGAGTCCATCAAAGTAAAATTGTCCCACAATTAAACTCTTGTATCAATTCCCATGATAGGCTTTCAGGGCCAGTGAAGTTCCTATGATGTGCTCATTTTAAGACAGTAAATTAAACACTGCCAGGAAACCCTCAGGAGTAGCAGCAACTAAACTAGTGCAACCTAAAGCACAGGAAATTGAGGTGAAAAAAATTAAACAATGTGTAGGTTCAACACCCCATGCAACATTGTATAACCGATCAAGGGGCATATTGGACACCAAAGAATCAAATGGATTGGTCATCTGATGGAAATTATACCTCACCTCAACATCTAATCATACACGAGGAAGAAAAAAGTAAAAGTCAAGTCAACAAGTAAAGAAACACTGTATGGTTTGGTTATTTGGGAAGCAGGACCTCAATAGGGCGGAGCTAAACGAAAAAAAATGTATGCTTTGTGCCTTTCCCATGGACACAATGCCAGACTGAGCTGAGCCTCAAACCCCAAAACCTGCAATGTCATGATTAAAAATTTTGCATTGAGTACAGGAAGAGCAACGAAAGACAAAGACAATATCTTGATCTGATTACACAAAGGCTGAGGTTAACAAAGACAAACAAATCTGTGCAGCTTTGGACTTTTTTCTTCCTAAACAAGTGAAGCGCCTTACCTTACGGAAGAAGAGGGCCAGTGAGCCGGTCTTTTTGGGTTTGTTGTACGTATGGTCAGGGGGCTGCTCATTCTTCGCATCCAGCTTATAGTGGACCTACCAAAGTACAAAATAAATTCCAAACATTGATCTTTCAGAAAAATACAAAGATCCCTACAGGACCATCTACCAGCCACAGTGAAAATGAGGAGGAGCGGGAGTGTACGTACAATTCCCAAATGGATCAAATATAACTCCCACAAAGTACAACTTGCTACAAATATATTGTGTAAGTCCAACCAAGGGAATTCATAAGACAGTCTTCTCGAGTGGTAAATTTAAAAAAACAACCCAAATGACAAACAAGCAGCTTAAAAAAAGCAAAATTCCACACAACAGTACAGTAACACAGTGGAACAGAGCCCACCTGAAAGTAAGCAGGCTTCTTTGCAGAGCCAGCTCCAGGGCTTGCACTGGTGGATGGTGTGGTGCTGGTAGAGACAGAATTGGTAGCAGTTGACTGTTGGCTGCCAGGGGCCGGTGAGGTGGTGCTGGAAGCCGAGGGTTGGGCAATCTGAACTGGGATGAGAATCTGAAGAAAAGTTGGAAAATTTTTTTTTTTTTTTTTTAAATGCAGTCAGTGCAATTTTATCTCTTTTCACAGGCTCAGCTCCCACCCCAAAATATATGGTATAGTTTCTGAAAAATGCAACTTACATTTTACATGTTCTTCTGTCTTTTTCTCACACAAGGGATGATTGAATAATCTTTACAATGGGCATGTAAAAACATGTATCCTAAATAAACTGACCTAAATTATCTGTCTGTCCCAGAAGTACAATCTTTACATTAATCTCTGTTACACATCTTTCTTTATATCTTTTTAGCGCTTGTTTGACGGAAAAAAAGAGGTGAATCACTTTAAAAACTAATCAGTTGTCATTAAAAAAATAAAACTAGGTTTGCTGGTGTTTCAGAAATACCATTATTAGTAGCAGGCGATCAATTGTTCCAGTTTCGTCAAAGTAGTTCCAATTTTGTCAAATTTGTTGTAATTTCGTCTCATGGCTCATGGCTCTAGATTCAGTGCAGAAATCCAAAGTGGGGCTACTTTCGAGATTCTCAGGTTTAAGCGTTGGTTTTGGCATATCATGCTCACCGTTCAGTTTATGTTTACCCATTTGATTTGGCAAAAAGTTCACCTTATTTTAAACAGGAATGGCAAAAGGATTACAGGGGGCGAGTTGCAACAAAATTGGACGCAAAATTGAAATGCCCTACCCTTACCTGTCGGCCATCTTCCATCATGGCAACAATGGCTTGCTGCGTCTGGCCAGAGGGTGCCTTCCCCCCTGTGGAAGCAGTGGGACTGTCGCCGTTGCTGGTAGCAGCAGCGGATGAAACAACTGTTGAGCCTGAGGCAGAAGCCACGGGGGTAGGGCTGTTGGAGCTGCTGTTTTCCGAGCTAATCGCCTCAGGGGGCTCACCAACCGACACGATAGTTGCTGTAGATGTCGAAGAGCTGGTCACGGTTGAGGCCCCTGGAGCTGGGGAATCAGTGCCGGATGTGGTGGTGCTGACAATGGTCGTTGTGGGCGGGGGAGAGTCGGAGCGCGGTAGCACAGTGGTCGGTGCTAGTGTGGAGGCCGCCTGGTGGTCCAAAGAGATAAACACATCCTTAACAAATTTGACAGATTTTAGTCGCTTTTTTTTTTTTAATGAAGAGAAATGCATCAACACGATACAGGTCATTTAGTGTTGGAACAAGGCAAGACAGATAGACAAAAAACAAGACGGAAAATTAAATGACACTCTCACAACACCCCCCAAATTCAAGTAATCTGCACAAGAAAAACTGAGCAGATATGAGAAATAGGCAAGCCATAAAATGTTCAATTGTTCATGAGGCCAAATATGTACATGACAAAAATAAACTCTTACACATTCACCACCACAAACAAAAGTACCTGCAGTCCCACACACATACACATCAAAATGAATCTATCAACACTTAAGCTATTCAATCTTACAGCCTTCAGGCCAAAAACTCAATAAAATTAAACACGGTTACGTGTAACATGGAGACCTTTTACAAAACAATGATTAGCCAAAAAAAAAACCCAGGCAAAAAGGGAAGGTGCTAAAACTAGCCTTTTATCTTGCTATGAACAAGTGTTCAGCATTGAAAATAGTAAAGGTTAAGCACCCACAAAACAAACTGGAAAAGAGGGATTTACAGCAATCTGAAAAGGATGAACAATGAAGGTACTTCTCATTTCAACCTATTTAAGTCACAAACATTTTAAAGAAATAGTACGACTTCACTTAGAGCAATATCTCTTTCAAAAGTCCATAATACAACTAACACTAACTCAAGTCTATCAGAGAAATATTTATTAAAATGCACATTTTCATTCCTCTGCACTGTTTGACAAGCACTAGTTGTGGCCTTGTTGGGATCTCACAATTAAATCACACAATAAAACTTTCCGTCACAAGAAATAATAAGACCACTCTGAACTTAAAAAACATAACACAAATTTACAAATGAGCACTACAATAAAAACCACAAAGAGTCTTAGATAACACTAATCTAAGGACAACAACAAATAATATGGCAAAGAATCAGGACATTAGAAGGTCTGCGCAAAATACTGTCAAATGACCACATGTAAAAGACACATCACCTGTACAAACGACCCCTTCCCATTTTCTGCCTTGTTTTTTTTAATGTATTTTTAATATTATAATGACTGTGCAAGGTGACCACCTGTCTAACATGACCATTTTTGTCCTCGACAATCAGTGCTTCCACCAGCTGAAGCTGAAAAGTAAGGGAAATTCTGCAGGGGGTCTGGGGGCAGCAGGGTCCAGGGACAGCGTCCCGGTGGGGGTTCAGGGGGCGGAACCCCCCGAGAAATTGAAATTTAGTGCTTTTAGAGGGTAGAAAATGGCATTTGGGAGCCTGTTTGAAAATATTGCATACAGCCCATAATATTTATTTTTTCACCAACATTTTGTCTTGTTTGACTTCATCACCAGCATATCTTTCCAATGCTGGAAATGTTTAAAAGCAGGTTCCCCTTTCATTGCTACTATAATTCAATTAATTTGTAGTCGCACCAATGACAGCAGGCAAACCTGGGAATAATGAATAGATGTACCTTCAAAATACGGTTGCGCAGCGTATACCCACATTTTTAATAATAATAATAAAATAATAATAGATAGCATTTGTATAGCGCATATCCCCGCTCAACAGCAGGCTCTATGCGCTTTACACTATATTATTACCCCAGCAGACCATAGTACACTCCGAAACATTCTCAGCTTCCCGGGAAGCATACAGTGCGAGCAGCCGATTAAGCGCTCAAACACTAACAAACTGACAAGATCTTTCGCTGTCTATAGCCGGGTACCCATTCCCACCTGGGTGAAGTGAGGAAAATTCGTGTAAAGTGCCTTTCCCAAGGACACAACGTCGGGCCCTTGACGGGATTGGAACCCACGACCTTACGGTTGCGAGTCCGAGAGCCTGTCACAACCTCGGAACACCACTTCGAATTATTCTTGATTTTATACGGGGTGCTCACTACGGACGGGATCGGCCGTTCGGGCCGATAGCCCGACTCGATTGCCTCAAAAACAAAAATGTTTGTTTTCAGTTTCAAAGAAAACACGGTTGTTCGACCGAGTCGGGCGATCAGCACAATCGGCCGATCCCATCCGTAGTGGGCACGCCCGTGTATCAGCATATATTTCTTTCAGCGCTGCCCTTATATTGCGTTCACGTGCCGTAGAATCTTCGCATTGATAATTTCTCTAGATCTAGATAAAATTTGCGAAAAAAAAGTTTCTTTCCGACAGTAATTTTCTGTCTAAGATCAAAATCAGCCTTGATCAATGCGCAGATTTTCCAGCCGTGGCAACAATCCGAAGATAGACAGAAGGAATGAGTGAATGACAGAAAGGAGGAAGTTGGCACAAAAGGTTCGCCAGATTTTGATCCATGTGCAGGTAAAAAATGTACTGCCAACCAACACGCAATGAAGGCATGGGACTGGGACATAGCGGTATAATGTCCGATTGCAGGAAATGCGCAATTTGGCAGGTTTCTATAACGTTAACTTGTTGCCGAGAGAATTACCGAAAATATCCGTAACTTACACAAGACGATACGAAGGCGAGTACGGAATTTCGGCAGTCCTGCACTGTCGCAGTTTTTTTTACGGAGGGAGTTGATAATGATGGGGGAACAAGTACGGAACCGGCAGAAAGTACGGATTTCCGTAAAAATACGGAAGAGTGGAAGCACTGACAATGGGTGGTCATCTTGGACAAGAACAACTATATTCTCCCATCAGACTGTCAAGTTGCTCCAGCTTTTCTATCAAGTACCTATCATCCTTATCTCTCCTCCTAATATTTGTTTACTACTAACTAGTAATAACACCTCTGATCTTCAAAACTTAAGTGATCTATTTGAGTTGCAAGTGCAGTAAAACTCTAATTCAAACTCTACTAAAACACTACCTTATTGGAAACCAGCAGCGTGTCTGAGGCGCCACCTTTGAGCTGACTCAGCAGAATGGACTTAGCCTGAGGGGGTACCATCTGTGCAGGCGTGGTGTTGGTCGAGGCAACATGAGCGGTCGAGGAGATGACCGTGATGACCGGTGACACGCTTGATGACGTGCCGACAGTCGAGCCCTGGGAGCTGAAGGGCAGCGTGGTTACCGATGGCCCGACGCCGAACAGCCTGCGCTTAGCATTGCCCGGGGTCGGGGAGCTGAATCTGTCTGCTGCCATAGGGGCCACGGGGGAGGTGACCTGCTCTGAGCCTGACAGAGAAAGATGGGGGAGGACATGGGTTTTAGTCTTAGTTTTAGTTCCAAGTTTTATGGCACTTGCTTCACAAAAAGGTCAAGTAAGAGCTGAAGATTAACGGTGTTACTAGAGAGAAACATACAAAGAAAAGAAGGAGGAGAGACAATAGATGTTTGATATGAAAGACAGAGCAAACCACACTTGAACACCTGTCAAACAACCATAGTGATAGGGGGTTTGGGGTTGGTGTGTGCGTGTGTGTGTGTGTGTGGCGAGGGGCGCAGGGGGGGGGGGGGAATTGTTGAATAAGGAGAATAACAATAAATGGTGTTTGAGTTTTGAGAAGTAAGAACAAAAGGAGGAGGGGTGTTGGTAAAAAGAAAAACATCAATACAATAACAGAGAGGCGAATTTGAGTAAAGAGAAGCGCATCCACACAATAAGAGTATGGAGGGTGTGGGTAAAGCCAAACACCTCCTCTTAATAACGGTCATTCAGTGCAAGGGGTAGAAGCAACAGAAATGTTTCTCAGGAGACTCAGTTCAAGTTTAGTTTTAGTAAGAGTTTTTTACAGCACTTGCAACACAAATAGGTCATATAAGTGTAAAAGATTGAGGTGTTACTAGAGAGTATCATACGTAGAAAATAAAAAACATACCATACAAGAGCAACAACGATGTTGATCATGATGATGAGTGTAGTGGAAAAAATAACACAAACAGACAAACGGGAAAACTAACACAGAAACAACAAAAAGAAAGAAAAGCAGGACTTACAAGGGTCACCCTCGAGCCACCCAAATAAAATGATCGCAGTAAAAGGCATAAAGTCTAAATGGGGGAGGGGAGGGGGGGGGTCAAAGAGTTTATACACTGTTCATAACGTTCTGTCTCTCAGAATAGAAAGGCATACGGACATGATAATGATCAAAAGGCACCAGATGGGACAGCAAGATTGCAGAAAGAAATAAAATATTTCTTTCCAGAGACAGGCAGGACATTTTTTTGCCTCTAATTTTCAGTGCAATCACATTGTCTTCTCTCTAAGACCATCTAGATGCCATATGCGGCTCAAAAAGTACTCACCCTTCTGTTCGACAGGTGTACGTTAAAGTTTGGTGTTAATATAAATATGTCCATTTTTTATCTTTTAGGTGTATGGTGTAAATCACCTACTTTGACCCAGTTTAGGGAAACAAAAAAATAACATGAAACATATTTTGTAGTTGCATCCAACTGTCAGACACACATGAAAAGACCTCAGGAGATTAAACAGAGCTATTAGTTTTTTTTCCTGTTTTAACCACAGACAGATGAAATCGAACAAGCTGTAGTCAGTACTACCAACACAAAAGTGCACTTGGTAGGTCAAATTTCTCCCTGCGAGATGAATAAAGATTGTCATTGTCATTGTCATTGTCAAGCATAAACCTCAACCTGAAAAACAAAGATGACACGAAACAAAAACTGACTGCCATGTAAAAATAAAAAAATCATAATGCCCAGCATACTTTTCTGTATTGCTGCCTTTATGTCTCCAACCAGAGAGCGAAGTCTTGGGTGTCGAGCATGGAATGGGAAGCCAGAACTTGATCCTGTTGTTGGTGCACCTTTGCTGTCCATGTGAGTGCCAGGCATCACCTTTGAACACAAAAGTGAAGAAGAACAGGCATTGAAATTGTGTTTGATTTTATCACAATGTCAAACAAGGTCATTCATCAGATCAGAGGCAAAAATACAAAATTTAGACAATTGTCACCTGAACCACTTGCTGAACAATAATGTCAATCATCATCAAGTGCCAAATCGGCAACAGACATCGGTAATCATGCTTCATCTTTAATTCTATTTACTCCGAAGCTCTAAAAAAAAACCTATATTCTCCTGGCCTTATCCCATTGAGCATCTGTTCAGGCTTTCTAAGAGTTGCTCGGAGTTTACCCCCTGCCTCATCTGCTTTCAATTTTACCAGTGACAGAAAGATGTTCAAGGCTTTTATGCCAATTCAAGTGACCCAGAGAATGCATATGGGTGAGTGGCCCACATGGACTTGTTTAAGTACTGACCTATTTGATTTCTTTTCCTTCCATGAAATTTTCATGTCTCCTAAGCAACCACGTTTCTGTTGGGCCTATATTTCTGTCTTTGATAATTGTAATATCCCAAGCCATATGGAAGAGCTGACCTCACGCAGCCTTTTAGAACTCTCATTTTGTAGTGATTTATTAAGATGTCTCCATTGTTAACCCGTTGCACCCGCACTACGAGTATACTCGTAGCTGCAGCACGCTTCCGCCCACCGAGCTACGACAATAGTTGTATGATAATACCGGTCCACAAAAATCGAGTACAAACCACTCATCCAGGTTTCTATTGAAAATAACAGGCCGTTTATAGCTTGTAAAAACTTCCCCAAGCTTGTTTGATCCAGTTTTGCTCCAAGTACAAGTTAGTTTTGTTGTTTAGTCACCGCAAATCATGGCAAGAAAGCGAGCATTCGAGGGATGAAGCTCTCACTGAAATCTTCATTGTCGAGAAGAAAGAGAAACAACCACAAAAAAGTGCTTGTTATAATACATGAACGATGTTTTATGGTTTTGTTTTGGGCATAAGCAGCAAAGAAAGTGAAAGTAGACATACATCCAGTAAAACAAGGCAACCAGATCGCTTTTAGTGCCTCGAAAACTTCGAAGAAAAGCAAGATCTAGACCATAGATTAACTACAAGTTGCTAGGGGTAAATCGCCGGCTGATGAATCGCAGTCAGACAAATTAGATTGTTTTCTCTGCTTTTTTTCTTCTTATTTCTCTCTAATAATATGAAAAGAACATTTAAAGTAAAATATAAGCGAAATTTCAATCAATAGCTTAAATAGTTTGGGCACAATGCGTGTCTAAGATTAGTGTGTCGACTTTAGACCGATTTTCCCCCCGGCCAGGCGGACACAAGCGTACTGTCCACGGTCAGGCAGGGTGAATAGGGTTCATTAAGGTTAATATAATATTGAAACAGTCTTTTGCTGTCGCAATTTTTCGTTTTATTTCTGTGGAATATTTGGCATCAAATGTAATTAAATATCTAACTCCTCTGAGCGAAGTGAAACTCATGAGCTGGTTTTAAATGTGGAAAAAAACAAAGAACTTGCCAACTTAAAAGAAAAAAAGATACTGTTCCTGCAGCCGCTTCAAATTAAAAATGAATATGTCCAGCAAGAGTCAGATTACAATTAGTATTTGAATGTTACCATAGACAACAAACTCAACTGGCATGTCCACTCTTCTCTCCTACACAAAGCAGTGAACAAAAGACTTTTTTGCTCTTCAGAAGGCTAATGTTTTTCTAAGGTCAAAGTGACAATTAGCAATTACAAAGGCTCAATGCAAAGAGGGTGTTAAAGTTACACAGCTGCACGTGACGTAAAATGTCTGGGTCTGGTAGTTTTTCTCTCCTTATTCATCAGGAAGGTTGGCAGTGGATTGGGGTAGCCAAAAATTTTTTTATTCGAAATCAGAGGTATTACAATCGGTTTTTTGTAAAATTGAATAATAATTGTAACGCTTCCTCGAAATACGCAACGATGGGCAGCCCTGCAGCTGAACTATTTGTTAAAAGCTAAAAGGAAAAACCTATAGACACAAATGGAACTTGCTGTTTATTCCTTCTGGAGAAAGCACAAAACAAGGAGAAGAACCCAGGCATACGAAAATCTAAACTGGGATTTAAATAATGGGTAACATCTGCAGCCCAGCATAAATATTACTTGTATAACAGGATTGTTAGAGAATTTAAATGACTGCAAATTGGATATCTCGAACGACTACCTTACACCATTTCAGAGGGCAATGAACTTTGAATAACAAAAAATCACAAAACAAAGAAAAGGAAAAAATAATGTAAAACATGTTATTCATATTTAAAAAATGACATCTCCAAATTAGGAAAGTCAAAATTCTCACCTCTTCACAGTTGGGCACACTCTGTTCCCTTAAAGCCTCCCAAAGTGGAGAGTCACTTTTCCATGCATAACTCTCAAGAATGCTTTCCTCAATCTATTCAAAACACAGAACACAGACAAAATCAGTTTTAAAAAGCACCCCAGTGGACCCAAATCACAATGATTATAAAGAAATATTTCATTAACAAAAAATCAGATCATATATTGCATCCTGAAATTATGTTACAGTGAAAGAAAAAGAGAGCATACACTGATGAGTCATACAATGCACACTTCTACGCATCATAGACACTAGTTATTCAATGTACTCTTTCCAAACTAACAAGCAAAAAAAAAAAACCACAGCTCAAACTGACATGGTCACATGTAAAACACGGTTTGTCCAATTGCTTGACTCTTCTGCAGCCCGCAGTTTTGTGATGTCTGTAAGGAAGTGCAAAAGTGTTATATTAAATTATTAAAGCCCAAAGTAAAGTAATAAAGTGACATTTTAGACATATGAAAAACACTGACACTATCTTCAGAAAAAAAATGTAAAGACTTAATGAACTGACAAGCAGTTATAATAAATTAAGATATAAAAGTACTTTAAAATATGAGGTTGAAACTATAAAACGCATTCTCTCACATGATTTAAGTGCTTGACGACATCTCTGGAGAGGCCCTTCTCTGCTCTGATGATGATCTCAATCACTTTGTAAAAATGATATGGACTCAGCTCAAAAATGTCCACAATCCATGGAAATGTTCTGCAAACACACACAGTATTTGGATTTTTACAAACTGTAGACATTTCAACATTTCACCTCAATAAAGGGTAAGAAAACAAAGTGCAATATAATAGACCCAAAAAAGAAGTAAGACATTGTACACACAATGGAATGTTGGCCATCCTTCACTGATACTTCGCAGAAAAGGCCAGAGCTATGAAAATTACAATAAAAATATTCAAACTATTCAAAACGTATATTTTGCACGAAAAAATTGTCATTTACTAGCAGGGCTTACACAATAGCTTGCTATGAGTACGACAAGGAGAAAAAAACCCCGGTAAAACTTAAAAATAATTTTTTTAAAAAGAGTTCAACAATCCTCAGAAGAAAGATATTCATCAATTGTTTAAGACAAGAACAACTGTCAACCTTAACTAACAAATGGAAATGCCAATGAAAAGTTTAGAAGTCATTCAAACACCCATTATACCGTTGCATGTTGAAAAATAGAAAGAATATACTTTGTTCCCATCTTACTACTCACTATCCCTGTTCACCCATAAAAAGTGAGTAATGTGCCTTACATGCTGGAGTATTTTGGCAAAGAAACAATCCTTCGAGTTGAAAGAGTCCATCCCAAATAAAAATCCCCGTCTTCATTATCAGTAGTTTCTACTTACCTTTGCGAATTGTAGGAAAAAATCACAATCTCCAGACAACAGGCAAACAATGAACGATGGAAGAAGTCATTTTCCAGAAGTCCCTGAAATGTAGCGCAGTCAGAAGCAAAAAAACACAATTATTTAGTGTTCCAAAAAAACAAAAAACTATTCCATTACAGGTCAACACAGACCTTCCAACCTATCCCTTCTGAAGCAATAGTACCAACATCACTTTAACCTATAACAACAATTTTATTCCAAAATTATTTTTGTAATCATTGTTCCTAGTCCCTGTCAAAATTTTTTTTTTAAACATTCAGCAATACACTTCTGTCATTGTATAGTTCTTTAATTCAAAAACACAACGAAAAAATAAGAGTCACAACACAAGTTTTGTGCCACACAAAGTATTAACCCTTAGAGCGCGGACTTCTTTCCCCTTATATTTTCCCTCTGTGCTGAATTTATTTTGGAAAAACGCCATGTTTGCACATACGCTTTTTTTTGGCTGATAACTTTTTTATTTGTCAAAATTTCTAATAAAGGTAAGAATAAAAGTTTTAGAATATTGAAAGTTCTTTAACAATATGTAAAGCAAAAAGTATTTTGTGAAGTTGTAGTAGTGGTGTTGGAAATGACTGAATAAAAACTGCCGGTTCATTAGTTCTCTAGATCTAGACCAGAGTCTGGATGCTTCGTAGGCCTACGTTATATTCCACAAAGTGTTAGCTTTAGCATCAAAACCCTCGAAATCATCTTCTGATTCAAGGAAAATACGCGGAACATCTTCATCTGAATCTGATGCGACAGTATTTTCATGTTTGTCGCGGGTCGCAATCGCGAATTTTCAGACCTCACTGCCACTCGATTTTAAAGTGAAACAAAAAACTCCTCGCGCCTCGATCGAACCCCGTGACAAGAAAAATGGTGGCCGAAATCAATTCTGCGTAGCCTAACAGCCAGCAGTATAAAAATTAGTACTTCGTTCTTTTTGTATATCGCGTTATACTATGCCAATGTCTATCGCGACTTCAGCACTTAGCGGAAGTTCGGGCCGTCACGACCGGTGGTCGCGATCAGCACTCTAAGGGTTAACATCACACTTCACTTCTTATTTATAAAGGGATCCCAGTGTTTTCACTTTCCCATACCAACAGACACACATACAATTGATGAACACCAGTATGTAATAAAGTTGTTTTAAAAAAAAAAAGGGGGGGGGGGGGGGGGTGTTCCTCAGTCCAGTTCAGGCAAAGAGCAAAATTTTACTATGACTAACTTTCTAGGAGTCTCAAAAGAAACTCAATGCTTTCCTTGAGACTGATCAGAGACACATGAACAAACCATAAAGGGTGAAGAAACATATAAACATCAAGGAAAATCAACACACCAAAAGATCAATTTTACGCTGGCTACCATCTGAGCCAGTGATTCTTTTCTTCTCTCCTTGTACAATGCCCTCCAGTGTCTTGAAATACAGGCTCTCTCCAAGTTGAAGTCGTTTGCGGCCAAAATCAATAGGGGCACCAGCTTGGTTTTCAATTGACTGAAAGGAAGTAAAAGAAATATACGTAAGTGTAACATACTATTAATATGCTATTCATGTCACATTGTTAACTTTAGAACAAAATTCATTATTTATCCATTTACAGATGCACACATCTCGTGAATTGTGGGTGAAAATAAGGAACTACATGGTGCCGGATGACAAGTAAGGTGTATAAATGGTTGCTTCCATAAAATTAGGCAAATCATTTAGTTATTACAGACATGTATAAGAATCGCAAAGGAGCCAGAAAAAAATTCCGTCTTAGACAGGGAAATTTAGGGGGAGATGGAGGGGGGGGTGGTTCAAAGGCCCAGCCGGTGGGATCAAGGATCGGTTGTCCAATCAGCAAGCAGTGGTCAAAACTTCACACCTCTAAGCTGCTATTCTGTCTTAAAATGACATGCGTCAGTCTTACTCATCCAATTATCACCAGCGCTTGCCTTTCATAGGACCACTGTTTGACCCATTAAAAACAGAAATGTTTGAACATTTCCTTTGCTTTCACCCTTAGCCCCCCCCACTGGTGTAACAAGCACAGTCAACCAATGCCACCCCTCACAGCCATCGTGTAACAATGATTCGAGGAACTCTTTTCTCGGCTGGCCGTACGTTCAGGGCGACAGGCATTGGTCAATCTAATTTCACACCTCTGGCTTCTGGCTACCCAGGAAAGTTTTCGTAGTGGCTTGCTACTCAAGCACTCTCACAGGCAGTCGTGAGATTTCACACCCACACTACCCTGACCATCTGCATCACTCAGGGCTCACATGATGGGGTAACATCTACCCCCAAATTGTACCCCTACTCCCCTTCCTCGTTCAGCGGCATGGCCATGCCGTTAAGTTTAGAGCCGGCGGAACCAAACTTGAAAGTATTGTTTCAAATCAGAGCAGAGCGTGCAGAGCATTTTCCGTCTTAGACAAGTGAAACCCTCAGAAAGGAGCCGATTTTTCTTTCCGTTTTCGCATTCGACAGGTTTCCGTTTTATGCAGGTAATTAAAGAGGAATATATCAAGGGAGAGCGTGGAGTTTCCGTTAAGACAGGTTTCCGTTTTATACAGGTTTGACTGTATCTCTAAAATTCTGTATTCATTTACTTACAAATCAAATACATGCCACTGAAGCGAAAGTGATTAAAGACCATTCAAAATCAATGTTCAGACTGATCTGATTGGTCAATTTGATTAATGACTCTAATCTAGTATCTAAAAGGCAAAAATATCAATGTAGTCCCTGTAGTTATTACGAATGTGTGAGTGCTCGAGTCAACTCTAGCCCTTGAGTACTTAACTCGTGCGAGTACTCACTCAGATAGTTTTTAAATGCAGAAGTACTCACTTCAGTCAAAAACCTCTAGAGTACTTAGGTAATTACAAGACTAGGAGCTTTTAGTAGAAACAAAGATATTCCAATTTCCATAATTCTTGTTTGTTGCTGTATCGTATTGCAATTTTTTTGTTCCTTCCTCTTTTTTCTTTGTGCACTATTCCGATCATCTACAAAAAAGACAACATAACTTTAAAAACTAACTTCATTTCCCATTGAAAGTTGTTACAAGCAACTCAACTCTATCCAAAATCGTGTTTTGGGGAAGTAAAAAAAAGTTCAGATAACAGTTTTGCTTTCAAAATCACATCATAATATAGACAACACACATAAAAATATTAACCTTGGCATAAAATTTGCAAAACATTTCCCCCATCTCCTTCACTCTTTGAACAATCTCTTCATTCGGGTTACGACTGCAGCTTCTGAAAAAAATAATCATATGCAAGTCTTTATTAGAAAAAATATGGTAATTCCAATGTTTTATTCAATGCTATGAGCTAAAAGCATAATCAAAACTATGCAGTGGTAGATCAGTATAAAAACTAAACTTAGCAGCATTCAAACTTCAGTCTCAGGAAGCCCCTGAAAAAAAAAATTGAAATTTATTGCTTTCAGAGGGTTGAAAATGGCATTTGGGAGACTGTTTGAAGAGATTGCCAACAACCCATAATACCAATTTTTTTCCATCTGGAGTTTGTCTTGTTTTATCGGACTTCTTCAACTAGCAAACATATCTTTCCATTGCTGATAATGTTTAAAAGCAGTTTCCCATTTTTGTAGCTAATACATGCAATGTTATTTGTCATTGCACCATCGACAGCAGACAAATCCAGGAACATCAACCTTGACAATACAACCACCCATTGTGTACCTCAATTATCCTCCATTTTCACATTTGAATGTTGAATGTCACAATCTAACAGGGCCACTTTCATTTGTTCTCGATTTAACATCAATTTTTTTATCACAGCAGCCATAGAGTCCTCATACTAACAATTTCTCTAGAATTAAACAGATTTGAAAAAGTTTCTAGAAGAACAACAGCCTAGTGCATGAAATGCGCAATCTGGCAGAGTACTAATACGGTACAACTTAAAGCCGTTTCATGTAACAATACAATTTTACAAAAACAGGTTGATCGTTGTGTAACCGCAAAACTGTATAAAAATTGGACAATTAAACGATGGATTGGACACTCAATCCCGAAATCAAGCACAGCCTGATATTTTTAGTGCAATATAGATCAGGTTTTGGAGAGGTGAGCTGGGACACAGAATCCCTTTGAAATTTGCGGCCACAAGGTATTAACTCTCAGCAGTTCACCGAAAGGAAAATCGTACGAATTCGTACGATGAGCATCGGGTGTAGATCTAACGGCAGAAATCCATTCCTTTTTACATTTTGATGCTTCTAATACCTTTTTTATCATAAAAAAGGGTTGAATCTATATATTTTTCATAAAAATAATCATAATTTATAAAATATTGTAAAAATTTGGTGCACGGAAAATCAGCGTTTGTTTACGTTCTCTCCGCCGCCATTTTGGATTTTGGGAGAAGGCCAGCTGTGAAGTTTCTACACTAAAAATCGGAAAAAAGCGTAAAAATGTCGTCAGATGAGTCTGATATTGACCTGAATGACTCAATGGATGAAGAATCTGATGTCTGGGTACCAGAATCGGACGATGAGGGTCCCGAGGACGGAAACCAAGCCCCGACTTTGACCAATCGTGATCAAAACAACAGGTTAGTGTTTTGTTTACATCCTGCCTCTGCACAAGAAAGCCTATAACATGTATTCTAGTGGGTTTAGGCCACTGGTATTGTTACTTCAAGCTTACAGAATAGTTATTTGTGGTAACCTGAAGTTGTGAAAGCATGGTTTGCCTCTAAAAAATTTTAATTAACTTTTTTATGTGCCTAGCTACGGTTGTCATGTTATTGTTTACACAGCAATTCCTCAAACAGGAAGTTTGTTTTTGTTTACACCTCACCCGTGTACAGTAGCCTTATTCCCTGCTAAGATTTTATCATTGTGATAATATGATGATAATGACTGAACAGCTTTGTTCAAGGTCTGCCTCTGTCTAGATCTAGATCTAGATCTAGAAATAAGTGCCTATGACATAGGCCTTATCAACATGTCAACTTCGACTCCGCCGATAGCGTCCTAATCCTTTGCTTATTTTCTTCCCTCAGAAACTAGCCACAACCTCCACGTAACCAGTCTTACGCGGACCAGGATGATGGCCCACCAGAACCACTGCCTCAGTTTAGGCCTGCCGTGCTGTTGGCCTGCATCTCCCTGACTGTATCACCCGACAGGACATCCGAAGTTTTCTGACGCCAGGTGAGAGCATTATTGCACGGAGTACGAGAAATTTTTATTTTTGTAATTGCTTTCTGTTTGCCCTTACTTCACTCCGACAGGCAGGTGAGTTCACTGATTCACATGTTACACCTGGGGACCTTTGTTATTCATTTGTAGAAAACACTCTTGATGCCATTATGTAGTTAAAACTGATATTACCTTGTGGGCCAGGATTTTCTGACAGTTCGATTGATGTCAGTGTTCCAAGCAGACTATCCTTTCCAAATGACTTATGTAACTTATGTCTTCTTCTTGTCTTCTTATTTCCTCAGCATCCTTCTTCAAACTGTTTTTCTGCACTGAGATGGTGAATCAGATCTGCCTCTTCTCTAATGAGTACGCCCCGATGACAGGACCCAACAAACCATCTGTCTTTCGCTCCTGGGAGGATCTTGACTCTGAGATGTTTCTCAAGTTCGTTGGACTGCTAATGTATATGTCTATTGTTCATCTACCAAATTTAGAGCTGTACTGGTCTACGAAAACCTGTTTTCATGGACTATGGGCAAGGGCATACATGAGCAAACTAAATTTCAAACAAATTCAGTCTTTTTTTAAATTATGCAATCCAGACACTGAGCGAGGTACTGATAAGCTACGGAAAGTTAGGTTTGTGCACTATTTTTTGAGTATGAAATGTATGAAGTATTGGCAACCTAACCAGTGTGTTAGCATAGATGAGAGGATGGTTCAAAATAAGGGGAGATACAGTTTCAGGCAATACATAAAGGATAACTAAATGGGGGATGAAGTTACGGGTGGTTGCAGATTCGATGAATGGGTACACATACAATTATGAAGTTTACACAGGGAAGGATGGGGGCACACTATTGGATATTTTTGTTTCAATAAAAATAGAAACTGTTTGCTTGCAGAGCATACTGTAGAATAGTCTTTTGCCACTTACTACAATTATTGGACAGTTGAGTAGAAAAATGTTTTTTGTTTTAGGAGAGGTTTTACAGCGCTCGCAACTGCAAAAGGTCATATATGAGCGCCAAGGGGTGGATGTCAACAGAGAAGTCCTTACAGGGAATCAGACTTACTCTGCTCTCCTCTCTAGCTTCAACAGCACAAAGTCTGCTTTGACTATCATGGCACCCCGGAAATAGTGGGTCACAAGAGTGTGACAAACTTACAAAAGAGGTAGAGGAAAATGACGATACTAAGGATTAGGAAAGAAAAAGCAGCAGTTCCCTGTTGTAGTTCAGGCACAGTTATGAGCATGACATTGTTGGATCAGCCCATTTACAATTCTATTGTGCATTAGGATGAGAAATGTCCCCCCTTTTGGAATGCCTAAAGACACTTCAGTCAGTGGCACCGCTGTGGGGAGGGGGAGTAGAATGTTTTTCCGTCATGGACCACAATGATGTAAAGTACCGTACTACAATATTTTTGTCTATTTTTCCATGAAAATCTCTGTTGGTATTGGTATTTTGTATGAATACAGTGTGTTCTTGTCATTTTGAAATATTTGGTATTGCCTTGTCTGTTTTGAGTGCAATTTTGTGGATGGAAATTGACTGGAAAGTCATTGATGTTTATTTTTTCTATGTCGCGTCGTTATTTCATCGCGAAACATGATAAATGTATCTTTTGTCAAAAACCTTGTAACTTTTTTATCCTTTTTTCAATATGCATGAAATTTGGACACACATTGCAAAATTGGAAGTGCTTTTACTCCATAATAAACTTTTTGGGGTATCTTAGAACACTTTTTTTTTTCTTTCTTTGTGACTGTTACATGTTGGGAAATTTTATCTTTTTTTCCCCTGTCCCTCCCTCTAATAACAGAGCACTACATAGACAACAGTGGTCATATCATGATGAAATTACCTTCATTTGATAGGAAATTCAATTTCCTTTCCAATGGTATGTAATTTGACATACTTTCTGTGTTATTTTATATTCTATGGTAAATCATACTAACCATGGGTGCCGTGAAGGCGAAAATGGTCAAAATACCAAGAACTGCTGAGAGTTAAACATGACATGCAAAATTTTTTAAATAATTATCTCAGCTGAAATCTGACTTCATTTTGAGAAATGACATATCAAATAAGCTACAGAACATCATAAGGACTACACTACCCTATTCATTTACAAATAGAGTTGACATGATGCGGCAGCAAGTATAGAAAGTTCAAGTACAGATTTCAGAAAAAATATGGAAAATTGGAAGCACTATAACACACTTTAAAAACTTACAGTGCTGGATGGAAAAGCAGCCCTTGTTAAAGAAATTTTTAAAAATCAATAGACATGAGAGTCACTCACTTGAACAGTTCCAATAACGTGTCTGACGGCATAGTTTTACAGCCGGCCAGCAATGTTTGCAGACGAGATACACTTTGAGTTGCCGTGGAGACAGGTGTCACACTTGTGGGATCTTTTTCTTTAAGATATCGCCGACCAGTCAGAGGTGTAGATGGGGTCAGTGACTTGGTCTGGGTATTAGTAATGATAAAACAAGAAAAATACTAAATATTAGTCAAAATGCCACAAAGGTAAACAAAAGAGAGACCAATCAATAATACAAGTGCACAAGTGCAAGGCCTCAGCACCACAAAGCTACTAAAGTTTCAGAATGAAGAAATAATTGCACCCAATACAAAATATTCTGATTCTGGATTTCTAAACTTTTAATTTCTTTTCTTTTTTGTCTCAGGAGATGACAAACATTCAACACTAAACCATTCTTATCTAATGGCATACTCTTACAGCTGAATTTAAAAAACTATTATAATAATAAAACAATATGATTACCCATTCAAAATCACACTGCGCATTACCTCATCAAAGTGCTGCTTCAGTGTCGACCTCTTGACCTGCATCTGTTGAGCAAGGTCTGCTGCTGAAGTCTGACCTCCAGGTGTGCCAATCTCTTCATTAGCATCCTCCCCGAGGAAAATGCGCTCATCAAAGTCTCCAACACCCAGGACAAATTCCTCATATAAGTTGCTTATTGTTTTTCTGAAGAAAAATGAAAATGTAAACAAATCTCCATGTGTCCAACATTGATAACATAAATTTCCAACCTCCAAAATTCATCATTTTACTAACTGCATTCACATAAGTTAATTTCAATCTTAGATCATTAAAAAAAAGATCATAATTTTTTCTAGGCAAACATTGACTGGAGACAATTTTCTAAACTTACTACTTTACACAGAAAGTATCCCTCCATTTAATATTTTAGAGAACATTCCTTCTACTAGTGCAAAATAAAAAGGGAGCGACAGAGAAAAACACCCGAAATATAAATCTGGCTAAGAGTTCGCATCTCGGGTGACAAGAAAAGTGTGATCTTATGCAAATGTGCTCTTTACTGCATTTCAAAGGGGAGTAACCATCTAGAGCAAGTATTCTGTTGAATTTCATGGATGTCAACCATCTTGCATCTGATCCCCTGCAGTGGGTTAAGCCACTCACTTGAGTTCTACCCAAGGAGTGTGAAGTTTTCCTGTGGCGAGAGATCAAAGACAGCGACAGTCATAATTATAGCACTGCCCTCTCACACCGTCTGCCCACCACACAGGGCCTGTCACTGCCTCTTTATTGCGCAGTTTTTTTACACCTTGCCCCCTGTACAAGTTCTTTTCCTTCTGGGAAAGCCCCAATTTCAAGTAATAAAGGCGGATACGTGGTGTTTGTTTCCCTTTGTAAGAGTCGAGAAAATGAGTCATTTTTGGACGATCTGTTTCTGACACTAGTACATGACACACACAACGACCGCATAAGCCTTTAACTCTTAGAGCGCTGATAGACATTGGCATAGTATAGCGTGATGTACGAAAAGAGTGAAGTACTAATCTTTATACTGCTGGCTGGTAGGCTACACAGAATTGATTTCGCCTGCCATTTTTCTTGTCACAGGGTTTGATCGAGGCGCGAGCAGTTTTTTGTTTCACGTTGAAGTCAAGTGACAGTGAAGTTGACTTTGTGGAATATAACGTAGGCCTACGAAGCATCTAGACTCTAGTCTAGATCACATCTAGATCTAATGAATCGGCAGTTTTTATTCAGTCATTTCCAACACCACGAAAACAACAACTTCACAGAATACTTTTTGCATTACATATTCATAAAGAACTTTCAATATTCTAAAACTTTTATCCTTAAATTAGAAATTTTGACAAATAAAAAAGTAATTAGCAAATAAAAAGTGTATGTGCAAATTAGGCGTTTTTCCAAAATAAATTCAGCATAGAGGGAAAATATAAGGGGAAATAAGTCAGTGCTCTAAAGGTTAAGGCTTATTTAGCACAAATGTGTAATTCAGCTTTTGCAAGACAGAGCAACATGCACACAGACACTTTAAAAATCTGGCAATCGTGACATGTAAAAGAGGATTCTCTTTGACGAAAAAACAACAAAAAACTTACACATTCTCTTCAAAGTTCCCAATTTCTAAGATTCCCGACAGGTTGTCTACTTTTCCTTTGAGGACCTGTATAGATGCAAGGAAAATTACACAAGAAAAGTTATTCGATGCAAGAAAGAACAAAAGATGACTATTCACACATACAGAGCAGAATCTGAACTTGCACAAGGAGGACAGAAACACTAGATTAACTGATTCCGTCCATTCGGCCGCTGACAGCGGCTCTGAGTTTTTCCGCTGCCTCCATTCGGCCGCTGTGAGCGGCTCAACGAAATCCGAAACAAATGTTCACTTTTTAACATAGTTCCGACTTTTTAAGTTGTCGAAAGGAAGTAGAACTTGTAAACAAACCTGACCTCAATCTCTGAGCGCCAATATCGATCGAAACTCCGCGAAATTCTTGCAAAAATCGTTGTTTTGTTGGCTAGATCTAAGGGTAAACAACACGGGGCCTGGTATAATAAAAAGGCCCTTCAAAGAAAAATATTCAACTAAATATGTGAAATTCTTGCATAAATGTGTGCTAGGGTGATATCGCTACAATGTTGTGTTGATTCCTATGGATTATAAGGACTTGTAGAGCTGAGAAAATGCGGTAAGTTGAAATTTTCAAAGAGCTGTTGCACAATTTTTTTTTCTCATTCGTTTTTGTCTGAAGGAAAATGCAGTACAAACAGATTATATGTCATTGTTATTGATATAAACACATTCCTCTATTTATTCCCATCAGTTTGGTATATGACAATACCTATTTGAGTGAGTTAGAGCTTCACAGTAATGCATTAAATAGATGCACCCCAGGTCTAAAACTGAACATGGGAAAATAATTCTGTCCAGAGCCTGAAAAAATCATGGACGGAATCAGTTAAAGAAGGCATTTTGTTTCTTTTTTAATCTCTTTTCTTTTAAAATATCACCTCACAGCAACCCTTATTCAACATACAATACAATGAGTAGAGGAAACTTTCTTTCAACCTTTCCACTTCATGTATACCAAAGTCAATCACTGACCATGAGGACACCACAGATGTGTTAGCAACCAGCTCTATTTCCCTTCCTTCGAACTCTCTTCGAACATCTCTCAGGTTTAGGGCCGAACATTCTAGAAAGTAGTCCTCCAATCTCATTCTTCACCTGCCTCCCTTTCTCCCTTCCTGCGCTGTGCCCTTCTGGATCAAGAGATGCGCCCATGCCAATTTTATTTGCAGTACTTCACAGCAATCAGGTCTTCAAGGGCACACCTTGAATACGGGTCGATTTGTGAAGTTTTCAAAGCTTTCAATCCTCTTGGCTCCGTCACATGGACATGGTTGAAACGGCATAAAACACATACATTTACTTTGTAAGTCTTCAAAGGGCTCAAATGATTTACCTGACTTCATTTTTTTAAAGTTTTAGTAAGAGTCTTACGGCACTTGCAACACAATACGGTCATATAAGTGCCGAAGATTAGAGGTGTTACAAGAGAGTAACAAACATAAATAAGAAGGAGAGGTCAGGGTGACAGACGTCCAATAGGAAAAAAGGAGCAAACCACACCAAAGCACCCGCCAACCACCCAATTCCATTTTTTACTTCCCCATAGGTTAAGCACTCCTTATAGGAAGATGCCCATAAATTTTTCTATTTGTCAACTATTGTATTAGTACTTAGAAGTTTTATTTTTTTCTTTTCTATTGCCTTTTTAAAAAATTTGGAAGTAATAAATGTATTCATTTCAACTTCCTAAAATGCTAGTATATACTACCTTAAAAAACACACTTTCATACCCCACATTCTTTTGGTGCATTAACACTCCACCAACCTTCTTCTCAAAAAGCCTGCGCACATGCGGCTTCCACCAATGTTCTTTGATGGTCTTGGCTTCAACAACAAGCCCGTCATGACGCTCACACAAAAACTGCACGATGCACGGGGCAGACGCACCTGGTCGCCATGTGGCGGCATGGAAATCCTCTGGCAAACCTGGGCGAGTAAGGGCCACAATCAGTTACGTGACTAAATGAAGTTAGGTTCACACTGTAGACGCATAGACTAGAGAAATAAGAACGTGTCAAACACAAATGAATAAAATCTACCGCAAGCCCATAAGGATACAGAAACGAATCACAAATCCATTTTTCTCTTCTTGTTTAAAATGCAGTGTACCCTTATTCAACTAATCTCGTCTGCGGAGTAGAAGCCATCAGGAAGTTGTGTAGGCCAGTACATACTTATACCTAAGTGCACTTTCGCCTCTATGTGACAGGGTCCTTCCAGCAATTGGGGGTCAATGATAGTTCTGCACCGATAAACAAGAGCTACAATTTACAACCAACATTCAAGTCACAAAGGCAAACGTAAAACTTTTGCTAATTACTACATCTTTGTTATCCTGTTGGAAATTTCATTTACCCTCGGGTGGCATCTGGCATTTATAAATAGGCAGGTTTCTATCAACATCTTTTCAAAGACAACAAAGAGTAGTTTACTGAATTTGGCAGTCTATCGTGATTTGTCATATTACGAAGACCAATATGCCTTGAGAGGAAAGTAGATCCCCATACTAGCACTGCCCTGTTATTTACTTGGAATAATTTTTTTTTACAGCTTTGAAACATAATGCAGAACAAACATTTCTCAAACCTTCAAAGTCAGGATTAAGCAGATCCTTCCTTGCACCCAGAACAGCATTAGCGAAGATCCAATCAATGCAACACAGCAGCAAGTGGTACGAGTTAACCAAGTCATCACTGATGGCTGGAAAATTACCTAGAGATGCATAAAACAAATCCAGAATTTTAGGCTCACTGTCAAGACGAATAAAATTTCAAAAAATTTGGGGGCTTCATCTTAGTCAAAGTAAAGTACTACGAATCATAATTGAATAATGATATATACGTAAGTCTTATACAAGAACAGCCTCAATTTACACAATAGTTCCCGAACAGAACTGACAAAAACTCACGGTTTACTGCTCCTGGTCAAGTCCGCTCAGTAGAGGATTAAATAATAAACAATAAGATAATAAATTGCGAGTAAGAGAACCCTTGATGCATAAATGCCTCAAACAGGAAATAAAATCAACAACAAAATAAGGCAGCTTACCTTTCACTTGAACAAACATGGTCCATGCAAAGTTAAACACCTCATTGGAAGTACAAGGGTATCTCCTGTTAAAAAGAAGAGAAAAAGTTTCCTCAGTGGAATTAGCAGAAAGCTACAGAACAGTCAAAAAAAAAAACATGAGCACAAAAAGATTGGACATAGTGCTCTTTACAAGAAAATGCATTACGAAAGCCATTGTCACTGTCAAACACATTACTTTGTTTACGGAGCACTTACAACATCATGTGATAATCACACAAAAATAGAGCATCTGTTCTGTACAATAGATTGATTAAAAAATCAGTAAATAATACAATCACATCTTTGTGCTTCAAAGCTGTTAAAGACTAATTGGTAAGACAACAAGCTCAGAAACAACAACTTAAAATTAAGGGAAAATTATCCCAGTTCACCCCGAGCATGTTGAAACCAGCCAATTAGCAATTAGTAATTAGTACAGTAATTATGTTTAACAGTATTTAATTTTGTCAACAGAGGACAGTACCTAAATGCTGTTTAAGCAGCATTATTATCATCACAACTTTCGTAACACTTGATTGGACTGATAGGCTTCACTTTAGATTGGAAAGTTCTGCTTCATTGGGGAGCAAGACTTAAGAAATTAAATTGAAAGGAAAGACCATAGACAACCTGCACCCAACACAACTCAGCAGACCAGTTCACAAAAACCGCACACACAAAATACCAGAACCAAGTATACAGTAACAATTTTTTCAGCTAAACTTTCTCAATCAAGACTTTCTTATACATTTTTACACTCTTCCACAGGTGATTGAATCCTTTTTTGTTCTTATCAAATTAAAATGATTCCAACATTTCTAATTAACTGCAAATAAAAATTCTACATAATTGCTCCCTTATACTGATTGCCACATATATCTATTCTCTGTTTTTTTAAATTAACATAATAAGCACTAGCATCTACAACATAACCTCTACTTGAGATATAACTATTTTTTCTTCATGTCGTTTGCCCCGACTTCATGAATCATGAATAATAATCTAAGTAAGATTTTGTCAGTGATCACAACACAAGCATCTAGTGCACGTTTAGAAAATGGACAACACAGAAAACATCATTGGTGTCCGACTAACCATGTGACCGGTACAATTAGTGATACTATAAGTTAAAAGAAGACCAAAAAAATGTTCAAACCAATTGTGGTATATATTTTATAACAATGAAAAACAAATAAGTTTTCTTTTCACTTTGCATAACAATCATACAGTCGGACAGCAATGATATTCTTTTCTTAGCTTTCCCTCCAGCCTTAAACCCCATCATCTATCTTTCGGTCATACGTTTTTGGATATGTTTGCACTAAAAAAAAAAAAGCAATATAAGTCTCTACTCTCTCAAACATCAAAATTAACAGGACAGAAAAGCCATACAGAAATATGCTCAAGGCATCAAAACTGTCAAGTGTGAGTATATTGTCCCCATTTAAAAGAAAAAGGTTTTTCATTTGAAAAATTGTTTCTATCCTCTGAAATTATCAAGATAAATTGTGAAACTAAACTTCAACTCTGTAAACTTTTGTGACTATTGTACTTGAATGCACCACACACTGAAATACTTACATAATATATTATATATATAATTGTCCCTTCTACTATTAGAAGCAAACAACTATAATTTGCTGTTTCCTTATTCAAATTGCTCCTAAATTCTTTATGAAAACAAAGAAATTAGTCAAGACAACACTGAAACCATTACTAGTTCGTAAAAAGGACTATAACACGACATACAAAAATAGCAAAACACAAGAAAGCAAAAAGACTTTTGTACCCTTCAACTAGCTGCAATCCATTTTTTGTCCATTTTCTGTTTTTCATGTGAACTGATCTGTTGGTGGATTAAGTTCAAAGTTTCAATGGATTTATGAATGCATATAAAGAACAGAAAAGGGACATTGCTTCTCCAGACCCTGCATGAAAAAAAAAAAAGAAATATATAGCCAGGAAATCATGACCACATTGCACTTGGTGAAAATAGGACAGCTAGAATATAAAACTAGGAAAATAAATGTTGAACCAGCCACCGAGTAGAACTACCTCCCTACTTGAAACATATGACTTTCAACTATCTACTTATCGATACTTTTATAAGAAGTATGCATTTTACTTCTAAACCAGGACAACAAGAAAAACAATCAACTATTAAATTACTGATCACTACAAACGTAATGAAACTCTGGGTCAGTCTCTAAAAATCCCTGATACCAAAAGAAAAGTAACTGAGGATTAAAACAAACCCGCTTTGTTGAGACATCTCACAGCAATACACCTCTATGTTTTCTGTTCTACCAAAATAGAGGAGAGGGACAGACGGACAAGTGGAGAAGATAAAAACTTTCTGAAGAGAAATAGAAACTTTTTAGAACCCTTTTTCTGAACAAAATGCATATAGTGTAGGCAAAAAAATGGTTCACAAAAATAAATACTTTCATAGTACTTTCCATAACATTTCACAGCAAAATAAAAGTACTTTCCCAAAGAATTAGTAAATTTCACTACTGGCAAAAAGAGTTCCATTCAGTTTTACAGCACAGTGTTGTTACAAGCACAAGGACATGCAGCACAAATGCAAAGAACATACACATCAAAATTATGGTTGAGAAGTGATTTCCCTTTCAATATGTATGGAATTGTGGTGAAATCAGGCGCTAGTCAAAAAAATCAAACCAACAAAACCACCATATTTCCACCCATTGGGCAAATTTTATCAGAATTCTTATTTTTTGGCTAAACACCTTTTACATCTATTAAAAAATATATTCTGAATGGATTTTAAAGAAAAACGTGAAAGGCACAAACAATGTTAATTTGCAGTTCTCAAGGTGACTTCAGCCTCGAAAATTACTTAACTTTGGCAGCAATTTTCTTGCTCCTTTTTCATCTTACAGCAGACAACCCCCACCCCTTCAATTGCAAATATCTCGACTTCTATTCAAGATAAATGGAAGCTGATTGTTGGGTTTTTTTCATCATCGAAAAAGCAAGACAAATAAACAGGCTTTAAGATTATACCAGTAACTCAATATGTCCTAAATTGACGAGCGCCTGCTTCCACTGTGTTGTGGCACATATGATATAAAGAGACCTTGTCATCTAATCATCTTAATTTCCTGGAATTGAACAAGTATTTGAGAACTGCTGCAATTCATTTCAAGCCCTTCATTCTTTTCCTTACCTTTGTTTCCGCCCACGGTGCTGCCTTGGTAATTCATGTGACGGATTCACAAAAATATCTAAGAAGATGGGCTCAAACTTCTTGAAAATTACAGTGGACACAGCAAAGTTCCTTTCCAGTTTGTCAATCTTGTCCCTGAATGACTTGGGCAGACTGGCCATGTCAGACCACTTGCGCATCTTGTTGAAAAACTGAATGAGACTGTGGACAGAACTACTGTTTAAGGTATTGATTAAAGCATCTGACAACAAGGCAGAAATCAATGGCCTCATACACGAACCTAAATGATTTTGATAATGTGGAATTTGGAACGGTGGTGGGGTCAGGCGCCTATCATGAACCCATATATATATAGGGTGTTGGGCGCCTATAGGGGGTTGGGCCCCTATCATGAACCCATATGCTACCAATTTAGTAGTAAAAAGCAGATTGCCCTGATAATTAAGAAGGCAAAATGCAGCAAACTAGAAACATTCCCATGTTTTAATGACTGAAACAAAATTAACTCTGAAAATTAAAAAAAGAAAACAAAACTTAACTAAAAATGGCGGAAGTTGCATCAACTAGGAGAAAGCATAGTCCTTAAAGAAAAGTCCTTTTAATGCACTTTTATGAGGAATCCACACAACCTTTTAATAATACTGACCAGCCTTTAAGGTCAGGAAACTGGAGAGGGGACATATAAAAGCAAGGAGATTTAGATCTATACTATGTGTTTCTACTTTTTGTTTTCGTAACAAGAAAAAAAAATTTTCGAAATAAAAACCACCATAGATTACAACATGTCATTTTCAGCTAAAAGAGGCAGTGAACAAGCTGCTAAATTTCAAGATGATTAACAGTAATTCTCTCTATATATAACCCTTTCACAATGCCATACTGATGTTCCTGATGTGTCATGGAACAGTATAATTTTTAACACCATGACATACATAAAGTAAGAAGCAAAACCTGGAGTATCAAAACGATATTTAATTTTAAGGGATTTGCAGTAAAACTTCAGTCACAGCTCGTGTATGAGGCCACAAAAGTGTTGTAATATGCAAAATAAGCTGCTATCTAAGATGTATGACAAAGGAACTTTTATCTGCAAAGAAATTATCAAAAGACTCAGTGAATGGTAAACAGTCAGTTAACTTTTTCAATGAATATAATTTTAATCAACCACAGCTCACCCCTGCAACAAAAGTGTTCTTAGAAGAGACGAAATTTGAAACAAATAAGGCAATATTTTTAACAAGGAATAAATAATACAGTATGAAATAGTTATGTTTGATGGCATATCGGGTCTAAACTTTTGTTTACATTAAAACCAGGCTCCCTGCTGACAATCCAGACCCTGTGATTAGGAAATTATGGAACAGGAGTCAAGTATTACAATAACTTTTAAGAAAGAATTATTTATATTTCTTTTCTCTAGCAGCTTCATTTAATAGGCAAAAACAAAATTCCATATTTTATTACACTTTAATTTCAGATAACAACGTAAAACCAATCAAAAGTGTATTTGATTTATACCATGTCTGCCCTTAACTTACACAACTTTTCTCCTGATCTCTTTAAGAGCAGCTTCATCCGGAAATTTTACCAAAAATTTGACATGTGTGAGGCAGCGTGGTGGAATCAGGCTCTCGTCAAAATAATCAAAATGAAGAAACTTGCATTTTCCGAAGGTTTGTGAATTTTTATCGAATTTTTGTTTTTTCGCTCAACACCTTTCATGCCCATTAGACACTCATTTCTGTGTGAATTTTTCTGAAAAATTTTGATTAAAGACACAAAAAAAATGTAAATTTTCAGTTACCACGGACTCTTAAGCTAAGGAAATAACTAATCTTTGGCGGCCCTTTTCTCACTAATCTTACCTCTTCATTTGCAAATATCTCGACTTGTATTTTTTTCACCAGAATAAAGACAAATGAACAAGCTTTAAGATGATACCAATAACTCTACATGCCCAAAAATTGACGAGCGCCTGATTCTACCACGCTGCCTCACATATCTTTCGGACTGTCTTCAAGTGTGCAAATGGCAAATGAAAAAGTCTTCATTACAAAACTTTATACCTGCTCTGTGTTTTTGGGAAGCCTTTCAATTCTGGACACACTTACACAGTTTACATTTTTATGCAAAATATCAACCAATCTTGGCAAAATCCTGAAAATGAAAGGGAAAAGGTACAAAGTCAGTCACCTGAATTTTGAGGATCGAAGGAGACGGGTCAGTGAGACACAATTTCCTTCTACTGTTCCTCTTCCAACAGTAGGTACACTTGTACGCCGACATGCCTCATACAGCGCACAAGCCAGCCAGTGCATTTGGTCTCCCTTTGCACAAAAAAACCCACAAAAAACATAGAATTAAAGTCCAAAATTACAATTTATATCAAATGACTATTTACTCTTTACAACAACAACAAAAACTTTAAAAATTACTTTTTTTAAACTGCAACAAACACCATATTATAATATATATCATGTATATAATTTTTGTTTTAAATAAACCTCTAGAAAGTGCTCAGCATGAGCAGGGACAATGCACAGGAATCAGTAAAAAAAATGAAAATGAGCTGGTAAAGATTATTTATTTAATTGAAGGCTGAAGGAAGAAGACCAGATATCGTCATACCTAGCCAGATTTTAGCCCGATATGCACATGAAAATTGTATTACCAACAGAATGAAGTATATAGTCCGGGAATGTTGCCCCCAACCACAATTGAAGTATTTGAAAATTCAGACATCTAAAAATCTCAAGAATCTAGCTCTAGAAATTGCTTCTTCCCAGTCCTTGCCAAATGGCAGAAAGAAAGATGACGCCAAAGTTTTGCATATAAATAACTAAAAAATATCGAGAACGAAAACCGTTTGGAAAAATAGAGAGGAAGTTTATTTCACTGAGCGTTTGTCTGAGAAATAAATCTAGAATCTAGTTCTAGATTAGTCACTTCTTTTGGGTTATTTTTTCGAAGTGACCATTTCTCCGAACGCTCCGGAAAATAAACCTGATCTCTATTTCTCAGAACAGTTTCCCTTCTTGAGATTTTTTGGTTATTTGCGAGACTTCGGCGCCATCTTTCATTCTGCCATTCTGCGAGGACTGGGAAGACGCATTTAAGCATCGAATTCAATTTCTAGAGCTAGAGATTTTTAGATGTCTGAATATTCAGATACTTCAATTGTGGTTGGGGCAACATTCCCGGACTAAACTTCGTTTGAAAAATTGCCTTCAAAAGGTACTGAAAGACAACAGGACTGCTCGACTTTGTTTGTTTTTGTTTTTGTAAAGTGTTTTACAGCGCTCGCAACTGCATAGGTCATATGAGCGCGCGGGACACACCTAATATTTTCAGTTGGTAGGAAATTTTGAATTTTGCCCGGGTGGCGGCCGAAGCCTACTCTTATCGATTTTAGACCACCAAGGGATCTTTAACGTGCGCAACTTGCACACGGGCCCTGCTCGACTTTGGCAGTAACCTTATTTTGCATTTAGTCACCCCTAAAAAGCAAAGACTTTTAAAAAATAATAAAATCCCTCCCCCATCCCCGTTTACACCTTACACACACACACACACACACACACAAACACACACACACATGCACGCACATACACACGCAAACACACACATACACTTATACACGCACACTCACACACACGTGGGCCACTCCATTCGCAAAACAGCAAAATATCTTGAGAACGGAAACCGTTCGGAGAAATAGAGTTCACGTAATTTTCGCGAACGTTCAGAGAAATAGATCTAGAGCCTGCCATTTTTTGTGTTTTTACATGCTTTTGTAGTCATTAGGGAGGTTTCAGGGGGTCTCAGCATTCCTGTGTACAATTGCGGCCCCGTTTGGGGGATCTCGTTTTGACTCCACCAACGATTACTTCTGGTTCTAAACGATTACTTTTTGATGTGCGTGGCGATAGGCCTGTGGGGAGATAGCCTATCAAACTTTACGCCTATTGCAAAATATCAAATTATGGTCAAATTAAGGGGGGCGCCCCCCGAACCCCCCCATGTTTTTGTTCTGTGGTCACTGAAGCCCCCCTTGCCTTGTTAGATCTAGATCTACTGATAAAACATTGATAGGCCTACCAAATATTTAAACGAAGTGGCTAGCCGTACTGCCCTATCTACTCAAACCTGTTGAGTACACAGGTCTCATTAAATCTAGATCTAATAATTATTCAGGTTTAAAATACATGCAAGTCAGTAAGGCACCCTTTGGTTTTGTCTGAAATACAAATATACTTTAGGCATTCCAAACTAAAAATTTCATTTACAATTCAGCCATCAATAATAAGTACGGACAGCTAGCCTGACTGTCTAGCCGTCCTTAAGTATGGCTAGCCTAGCCGTCTAGACGTACAGCTAGCCGAGAAGTCTAGCCGTACTTATCTCAGGCCCTATAAAGATTAGAAAACAGGTCTCATTAGTAATTATTGAGGTTTAAAATACATGCACTATCATTAAGGCACCTTGTTTCGTCTCAAATACAAATACTTTAGGTACTGCAAACTAAAAATGTATTTGAGCCATTGCCAGAACGTAGGGAAAAACACACACATCTCACATTAGATTAGTGTGCATAAAATGTGATGCATTAGTATTTATTCCTCCAAAACTTATACACATGTCAAATATAGGATGTAGAACCTGCATTAGCAGTTTCAGACCCCATGTCAGCTTTACAATCTTGAGTTTGTAAATTTTTTGTCAAAAATGTTCATATTTCAGTGATTCCTGGACTGTCATTTTGAGCACACCAATGCAAACTTCCAAGAATGTCCAAAATTTAGTATTTTTGGGTGCTTTTTTTAAAAAGTGTTCTTTGATCCTATGCTATTTGTCATCGAGAAAGGTTAACTTGCTCAAGAAATCGGTTTATTTGTTTGTAAATAAACGAACAATTTGAATCACTTGTGTGTCAGTCGTGTCGTCACGGACCAGGTGTTTCAGAAAACACCATTATTTTTCAGTAGAATCACCGTAGCTGGTTTAATCTTTTTGCTTTTCGTCGTTTATTCAATACTTCAAAAGCCCCGATGCGCGAAAGGAACATCGGGTTCCTAGATCTACGATTTCCGGCAGCTGTTTAACATTCGCCGTGATTGGCGTCACTTTGCGACGTACCGGAAGTCCGAATTTTAGCCTACTTTTGTTTTGAACGGATCATCAACAGTGCCCGGATATAATTATTTTCTTGAGTGACTTCCCCTTACCCGCTTCCCCAGAACAGCGGAGGCAACGGGGGAAAGAGAAAAACGAAAGTAGTCATTGCCGTTAGCGTCCGGTGACGCACAAGAATCTTACGTTGAATGTGACTTACTGGAGTGTTTTGAGTATTTTTAGGCTACCCAATTGAATATTTTAGTGAAATTGCGGGGTTTACATTGGATTCCTGGAACAAGAGTGTGATGTGTGAACAAACTTCGAGAGATGGGTCATTTCAGTGCTTATAGATTTAGCTTTTGTGCTTAGTGATGACGTTTGGGGTGTCGTCATGCAGCCGTACAAGACTGACTGACGTACTAGAAATTACATTGTCCTAAGAGCAAACATTTTTTAAATCATGTGTGCTCTTTACTCAAACAAATAAACAAACATGTCCTTGTTTATCTGTCTGGCTCAAAAGTACACATTTGTTCTTTGTTGGCATGATATGCCTTTTTCCAATACATTGTGTCATTGTGTCATCATTGTTATGTACAAGTAATATTTGCCATCATTGCTAATATCAAAAAATAAGTTTTCAACATATATTTCATACATGCAAGATTCATTTAGAAGCAAAATATGCCTTTATTGATCTGTGTTAAGTATCTCATAGTGCAAATTTGTTCTTTGTAGGCGTGATTTTACCTTTTCCCAGTATGTTTTGTCATCACCGTTATGTACGAGTACTGTTTGTCATAATTAGCAACATAATTGTGATCGTCCACTGTCTTTGATAAGACCTGATATCTGTTTCAAAGCAAAAGAAACCTCTCCTGGGGTTTTTTTTATTCTTAGAGTGCGCATTTCTCTCTGGAGGCATGACTTTGTCTTTTCCTGTACATTGTGCCATTATCGTTACGTACAAGTCATGTTTGTCATCACTGTATACAAGTCAGCTCCATTGACTTTGTGCTTTTGCCTCATATTAGTTTAAAAATTGTTTTACACATGTGTTTTTCTGGTACTGAGGCTTTGATAACTGTATTTGTACAGCCTTTCTCTATTGTGATGTGTTGTCAATCACAATGTCCAATGTGAGTCCTTTCTCGTACATAACAATGTTGACATGTTCTGAGCACTGCGTCATTGTTACAAACTTGTCATTTATATTACCATTATGAATGGAGTTCATAGTGTACAAAGTTTTTGTTTACTAAACAAATGGAATTTAAAGTCCAGAATTTGCCTTGCTGCTAATCTGTTTTTGTCATCACTGTTACATACAAGAAATACAGTGGTTGCCAAACCAATAGACCCATATCTCCAAAACTCTACATCTCCTTGCTCTGATACTCTAGGAATATGAGCTCTAAATGTCAATATGTGACTGACAGAAAAGGGAGTCAAATTGGGTTTTTTTAAAATGTTGCACCACTGAGTCTCAAGAGTCTCACGTTTTGGCAATTGCTCATTTACAATTCAGTAGGCCTTTTTTTC